AATATCCAGCTTGATGGGCTCCGGGGGAGGGGTTTCGACAGGCAGTGGGGTGCTCTCCTCACAGTGCCGAGAGGCTGAGCCGAGTGGCGCAAAACTGGTGAGAAGTGCAATGCTGCCTAGCCCCCAGCCTGCCCAGTTTCAGCAGGCAGCAAGGTGCAAAGCTGGTAAGCTTCCCACTGCCCAGCTCAACCTCTCGGCACTGTGAGGAGAGCACCTCGCTGCCTGCCAAGACCAGGCAAGCTGGGGGCTGGGCGGCGGCATGCTTCTTTTCAGATTTGTGCCACCTGGCTCAGCCTCTCGGCACTGTGAGAAGAGCACCTCACTGCCTGCCAAAACCGGGCAGGCTGAGGGCTGGGCGGCACTGCGCAGGTAACATTGACTCTCATGCTGGTCATGGCATCCCCTCCCCCAGAGCCCACCAAGCCAGATATGTGAAGTAGGTGAGGGCCATGTGCTGGCTACTTCCAGGCAATGGTGCATTTCTTCATTCCTCACGAAGGGTGACACCTCCCAGCTACGTTTCTTGCCTGTTTTTCTCCATCCCTCATCTCAAATATTTTCCCACCACTCTGTACTTAGGAAGGAAGAAAGGAAAGAAGGAAAGGGAGGGTCTGAGGGAAATCCTGCCTTAGTCCTACCCTGTTGCTCTTTTAGCATTCCCTTGCCCCCTCCTCCTGGCCTATGCTGGGGGTCTCCCATCCTATTGCTAAAGAAGCTTTGGATACAAAGCCGGGTCTCCTCCCATGGAGAGGGAATGGACCTCCTTTTGACTTTGCCCTCATACTCATCATGAGCAACCTGGCTAAGGAGACCAAGCACAGCAGCAGCAGTACCCTTGAGGAGGAGGTAAGTGCAGCTGGGCACCCCCTTGGGGAAGTGGGGCTGGGATTGGTGCCGTGGGTGCTCGAGGGTCAGGCTGGGCGTTTGACCTCTACTGCCCAGGGCTCCAGGCAGCCTGCATCACATCCAGCCGCCCCGCATGGCCTGAGAGGAACACTGAGGCCCCTCCAGTGGACCATGCGTTGGCACTTGCCCTGGTCCCTTCTGCCAGAGACCCTCAGATCTGTCCCACTCCTACCCAGGCCCCCACAGGCACCCTTGACGCGAATGATGTAGAGCTGGCCATGCCCACCTAATAGGCCACACCCATCCATCCACAGCCACCCAGTAGGCCGCATCCACCCTGGCCAAATCCACCCGGCCCCCCGAGGGCAACCGCAATGCTGATGCAGCCCTCAATGAAATTGAGTTTGACACCTGTTCTAGAAGAACAAGGTTAATATTCTTTGATTAATCCAGGGATGTCAAACTCAATTTCATTGAGAGCCGCATGGCCAGCTCTACATCGTTCGCGTGAAGGGTGCCTGTGGGGGCCTGGGCAGGAGTGGGACAGATCTGAGGGTCTCTGGCAGAAGGGGGTGGGACCAGGGCAAGTGCCAAGGCATGGTCCATCCAGCTCAGCCTCTCGGCACTCTGAGGAGAGCGCCCCACTGCCTACCAAAACCCATCCCCCGGAGCACATCAAGCCAGATATGTGAAGTAGGCGAGGGCCATTTGCTGGCCACTTCCAGGCGATGGTGCATTTCTTCATTCCTCACAAAGAGTGACACCTCCCCAGCATGCACCCAGGGGATGGGGCCGACACGGCAGGTGCTGGTTCCTCACTGGTTCCAGACGGCCTTGTGGAGCTAAGATTGAATGTGTTTCAGCATAGATGGCCACCACAAAATTGTACAGTGGCTCCCAGCCAGCCTGGGCCAGGGTCAAGGCAGCGGGGGCCATTTCCTCACTGTTTCCAGGATGGCTTTGCGGGCCACATGAAACCACTTTGTGGGCTGCATCTGGCCCCCGGACCTTGTGTTTGACATGTCTATTCTAGAAGTATAAATATTCATAATATTTATACAGGTATTAGCAAATGAAATGTCTATCTTATATACAAGATAAAGTTTTCATTTGCTAATACCTCTATAAATATTATAAATATTTATAAAGGTAGTCCTCGACTTACAATAGTTCATTTAGTGACCATTCAAAGGTACAATGGCACTGAAAAAAGTGACTTATGACTTACGATGGTTGCATCCCCATAGTCATGTGATTTACATTCGGATGCTTGACAACTGGTTCTTATTTATGATTGCTGCAAAGCCCTGGGATTATGTGATCATCTTTTGTGATATTCTGAAAAGGCAATGGGAAAGCCAGATTCACTTAACAATGGTATTACTAATTTACACCTGCAGTGACTCACTTAACAAATGTGAAAAGAAAAGTCATAAAATGAGGCAAAACTCAATTCACAAGTTTCTCATTTAGTAACATAAATTTTGGGCTTAATTGTTGTAAATTGAGGACTACCTGTACTTCTAGAAGAACAAGGCTAATATCCTTTCATTAGTCTATTCTATTCACACAAAAATAACCATGCAAACATAGAATTCAATACCATAGCAATGAATCTATTCATGGCCTACCCCCAAAAAAGTCTGATTAACTAGATCCCAGCATTAATTTGGGTAATTATTTATTTAAGCCAGCACAAACCTATACATCTGATAGGTTTTTTTTAAAAAAAAACACCCTAAAATATTTTCAAGACTTAATTACTGATGCTCTAATTTAATTTATTGTTCCGAAGAGACCATCTTCATTTTACTAAGGTGAGAAAAGTACATACCTATACATTATTAATTCAACTGTTCTGTTTGTTTTATACTAATACAGCCTCTAATAACATATGAGACTGCAAGGAGAATTTTTCTTTTATTTCAGTTTGTTAATGCATTATAAACTACATCAACTACACATTTTTATGCTTGCAAAGTGAACTACAATGGACTTCTTTCCCACTGCCAAATTTTTCAGAAACAAACTTTTAAGAACTTGCCAGTCTTTCTCTAATTAATTCTTTACATTTTCCTTGTAACATAATACAATAGTTACTTTGCACCATGAAACTGGATATCTTGAATGTTCAAAATTGTATTTTCATGACTGCCTTGGAACCTGAACTTTAGTGGTCTATTAAATACCAGCAATTTCATATAGCCTAGCACAGAGCTTTTCAACCTTTTCACCCACTGTACCACTTTTAGGATATGGCAATATCCGAGTACCACCAGTCGCCTAGCAAGGTGTCAAAAACTTGATTACCCCCCCCCCCAAAAAAGGAAAAAAGTGATGAAGTACAGGTAGTCCTCGACTTACAACAGTTCGCTTAGTGTTTGTTCGGAGTTATAAGCCACAGCCGAGCAAAACACCTGCCTGCCCACCTGGCGGTACTCTTTCTCCTGTCCGAGGTTTTCATTGTTGTGAGCATTTCTGTTGAGGATTGGCAGCGGGGGGGTGTTGGTTTTTATTCCCCCCCCCCGCCGTCTGCTGGGTGGTTGCAGCAGGTTTTGATCACTTCACATGACCCTGGGACACTGAGACCATCATAAATATGAATCAGTTGCCAAGCAACTGAATGTAAATCACAAGACCCTGGAGATGCTGCAACATTCCAGCTGATCGGCACTTCTTCTGGGCTCAGCAGAAGTGCCAAGATCAGTGCTGCTTTCCAGCTGATTGGTGCTTCTTCAAGGCTCAGCAGAAGCACCAGGATCAGCACCGAGCTCTAGCTGGAGCCTGGCGCTGATCCTGGTGCTTCTGCTGAGCCCTGACAGCCCTGCAGCTCCAGCCATCCAGCCTTGTGCGGTGCTGCCACCAGTTCAGCTCATTCCCCTCCCCCGCTACCACTTTTCTAGGATGGTTGCGTACCACCTGCCAGACATCAATGTACCACAGGTGGTACCCGTACCACTGGTTGAAAAGCCCCAGCCTAGCATAAGACATCATTCATATATCAGAACCTAATGCCAATGAAGGAGAATATTTGTAGCTCAGGGTTGAAATGAGGGGTCCTTGGTGCTCTCTGAGCTTGCTTGTTTTCTTGCAGACATTTCATTACCCTAACTAGGTAACATCATCAGTGTTAGTAAGGAAAACCAAAAAACCCAACAACCCCAGAAGAAAAAACAGGAGTCATCTACAACATACAATGTAACAACTGCAACAAGTGCAACAACCACTATGTAGGACAAACAGGCAGAAAACTGGCAGAATGAACACCAACTGGCAATCAAAAGGCATGACAAAAATTCTTTAATTTCATAACATATAAGATTTAATCATAGTTTCAACTGGGAAAATATGACAATCCTAGACCAGGCCAAATCCAGGGAATTTCTAGAAGCCTGGTACTCTGACAAATCAGCCATCAATAGATACATAGATATTAACAACATCTATAGACTATGCAAAAGAGACAATCAACTAGCCCAAAAGAGAAAAAAAGACTCCAGCACCTTTCCATCAATAATCAGCACTCAGATAAGCATAGATTAACTCCAAGATCAGCACTCAGATCAGCATAAATTAGCTCCAAGATCAACTTCAGACCAACAACCAAGTAAGCAATACCCCAATCAAGAAACTGCCAAAAAGCCATTAGTAAACAGTCCAACCAAAGAATCCCTAAGACCACCCCCACCCACACAGACAGGCAAGACACCAGAACATAAACTGACAGCAAATTTACTAGAACTGATAATGTTACTTAATTAGGGTAGTGAAATATCTGCAAGAAAACAAGAAAGCTCAGAGAGCACCAAGGATCCCTCAGAACCTAATGTGATCAAAAGGATCATTTAAGTTCCATTTTTCCTGAATTTACATATTCATGTTCCAAATCAAAGATTTAATAATTTCAAATAGTATTTGCAAACTATAAAATAGTGCAACAATACAGACTTATTTAGCAATGAACCTTGTTAATAGAATCATAGAATCACAGAGCTGGAAGAGACCTTGGAGGTCTTCGAGTCCAACTCCCAGCCCAAGGTAGGAGTCCTTATTCCATCAAAGTTTTGTTCACATTCCTGAAATATTATATTACATTTTCTTATGCTCTCCTTCTTATTCCTGTTTTTATATAATGTATTCTAAGTTCATCTTACCTGGGAGTGTTATTCTTTTCAAAAAGAAGTCAAGTCCTATGGTTTGCTTGTATTGCTTTCCAAAAGTATCGTGAACAAAACGAGTAGCTAAGGAGGTCTAAAAAGAAAATTATACTTAATTCAGAAGCAATGAACAAAAAATCTAAATTTAAACTCTATTATTTCTAATACTTTATTTCTTTTATTTACGGTAATATTAAGCAATTTTGTCATACTGCAAAAACTTTACTCATCATCACAACTTTTAGGATCACTCAAATATTACTGTAACTAATCAATTAACTAAATACTAACAATAAATAAAAAATGTTGCAATTTGGAATATTATACAAAGAAATTGCCATCTCCTGAAGCTCTGGCTACTCAATTGAAATATACTGAGTAAGTGGAATAAGGAAGACAGAGGAATGCATATCTGTTCTTCATTCTTTTAAACACTGCTAGTGAAACATAAAAGAAAGCAATGAATGCTGTTACTGAAAAGAGGTTAGATCACTTTCAGCAACAGTATCTCAACAATCCTTCCCACCATTCTTTCTGTTTAAAAAAGGAACTCCCTGAAAACAACATGGAGTTGGATTAAACTTGAACTATATCTCACCTTCAAGTCAAAAGGTATTTATTTTAGTGTTTTTTTAATCTAAAAATCCCACATTTATTATTATAAATTCAAAGCAGCGAACATACCTAATACATTTTATATCTTTCCCCACAATAACAACCCTGTGAGGTAAGTTGGACTGAGAGAGAAGAATTGAGTCCAAGTCACTCATGTCTCTTCCATGCCTACAGTGGGACTAGAACTCCCAGCATAATGGTTTCTAGACTAGTGCCTTCACTACTAGACTGAACTAGCTCTAGATCAAAGTTCCTAAAATGAAGAATGCATTATCACATAAAGCTTTCTATTCCTGCCCTTCATTTAACTAACTGACCTTCAATCACTGTCTTTTCACTGTAGTTTTCTTCAGGCTTTTTGTCTTCAGAGTTTCACCTACCCACAGTAAAATATTTCCAAATAAATCTATTTTGAATTTGTACTCGGAATATATGTACACATATAACTTGTGTATGTATGTATGTATGTATGCAGAAAAACTCATGTATACCTCACAGAAAAAAATTATCTGATATATTATTATAAAACCAAATTACATTATCAGTTGGCAGGCCATTATTTCCTGCTGTAATTCCAAATACATTTTTTTTGAATTTGCACATATAGGTACCTAATAATCAAAATGGATGTGAGCTTTACAGGTATTAACATATCCTGAATTGCACCCAAGCTAAGAAATATATCATTGGTGACTGCTTTCTCCTCACCTTTTCCTTAGAAAAGGAATTCAGACTTTCTTCTTCAGTAAAGTTTTACTTTTGAGTTTTACGAATAAAAAATTGCTTTCTCGGTGGACTTCTATTCAATACTAGGTGGAAGGGCTCAATGATGATGGGATAAGCTAAGGTCTCTCTTGCTAATATGAGCAAATGGGGAGGAGGGCAGGTGGAACACAGCAGATATGAAGAAAGCGAACCAAATCAACAGAGCAAACTTGAAAAGCAGCACTGTATGATCAAGAACACCTCATGGACACAGCTGAAACAACAACTTTGGATGCCAAATGGTGAGAACCCAGGTCAGAACATACTGGACAGTCACTAAACTTTCACAAGCAGATCTGGAGCTGATGGTGTAAACAAGGGTAAAGACTCTTATTCATTGAAAGTATCAGTACTGAAAGAATTCCTAGGTTTGCAATCAGAATATGGAAGATAGTATAATAGACTATAACATACAGTGAGGAAAAATATTTTTTGCTCCCCTGCTGATTTTGTACGTTTGCCCACTGGCAAAGAAATGATCAGTCTATAATTTTAAAGGTAGGTTTATTTTAACACTGAGAGACAGAATAACAACAAAATAAATCCAGAAAAATGCATTTCAAAAAAGTTATAAATCCTCTCCAAGTCATTAAGGTTTCGAGGCTGACGTTTGACAGCTCGAATCTTCAGCTCTCTCCACAAATTTTCTATGGGATTCTTGTTGTTGTTAGTTGCAAAGTCGTGTCCAATCCATCGCGACTCCATGGACAATGTTCCTCCAGACCTTCCTGTCCTTTACCATCTTCTGGAGTCCATTTAAACTCACGCCTACTGCTTCAGTGACTCCATCCAGCCACCTCGTTCTCTGTCATCCCATTCTTCTATTGCCCTCAATCTTTCCCAGTATTAGGCTCTTCTCCAGTGAGTCCTTCCTTCTTATTAGATGGCCAAAGTACTTGAGTTTCAACTTCAGGATCTGGCCTTCTAAAGAGCAGTCAGGATTGATCTCCTCTAGGACTGACCCATTTGATCGCCTTGCAGTCCAGGGGACTCGCAGGACTCTTCTCCAGCACCATAGTTTAAAGGCCTCAATTCTTTGGTGCTCAGCCTTTCTTATGGTCCAACTTTCACAGCCATACATTGCAACTGGGAAAACCATGGCCTTGACTATATGTACTTTTGTTGGCAGGATGATGTCTTTGTTTTTTCGTATGTTGTCTAGATTTGCCATAGCTTTCCTCCCCAGGGGAAAGCATCTTTTAATTTCTTGGATGCAGTCCCCATCTGTGGTGATCTTGGAGCACAGGAAGATAAAATCTGTCACTACCTCCATTTCTTCCCCATCTATTTGCCAGGAATTGAGAGGGTCGGATGCCATGATCTTGGTTTTTTTAATGTTGAGTTTCAAGCCAACTTTTGCACTTATTTTGCTTAGTACAAGTTAAGCCCTACTCTCCCGTTTTTCCAGCCATTGATAAAATAAGTTCCATGTTTGAAAATATTCTGTATCTTCTTTTTCTTTAATTCTCAATGTAAGTCTGTCCATTTCAGCACAGTCCAGTATTTTCTTGATTATCTCTTCGGGTTTCAGTTGATGTTGTGGTGGAACAGGCGAAGGAAAGTGGAGCTACGCTTTCAACTGCTGATTTCATCCTGCCAGGGATCCTAAGGGGCCGAAAATCACCCTGGAGAGGCAGCAATAAAGGAGGGAATCCTTGTCAATCATGGGCAGACATGAAGGGAAGAAGAGATTTCGGCCCCGCCCCACCCCACCAGAAAAATGAAAATGGAAGCAAAAACTTTCAGGGGGACTGGAATAGAGAATATAGAACTGTGGTGGTGAATCTATGGCATACGTGCCACAGGTGGCACGCAAAATCCTCTCTGTGAGCACGCGCGCTGTCACCCCAGTCCTAGGCCTCCGCTGCTGTATGCAAAAAAAAGTTCAATCAATCAATTTTAACTTCTCGCGGGGAAAAAAAGATCTCACAAAATTGGAATTGCTTGATTGAACTTTATATTCAGTCCCACACAGCGGCGGAGGAAGTGATGTTGGAGCTAGAAAAAAGGTGCCATGTGGGGTGGGGGGAGCGGCGGAAGCAGGGCGCTCCATGCGAGGGGTGGGGGGCCTGTTGCTTCCCTCCCCCTGCCAGAATCTGCTGAAGCCACGCAGAATAAGTTTGCCACCCCGCCCCCGTCCCCGCCCAGATGCTCTCGCCTCCCCCAAGCATTTTTTTTACTAATCTGCCTTTCAGCTGCATTCTATTTCTCCATTCACTTCTCAGATCTCGCAAGTTAGAAAGTCTCACGGAACTGTTTTTTGTCCCACAAACACGTGGCGAAGGTTGAGAAACGGACAGACAACCGGAATGCAGCTGAAAAGCAGGTTAGTAAAAAAACGCTTGGGTGAGGCAAGGGCATCTGGGCAGGGGCGGGGCAGCAACCTTACCCTGCATGGTGGCAAGAGGGTTAACGGCAAGTACAGGGGGCTCAGGAGGCGCTGTGCAAAGCAGGCGGAGGGGAGGCCAGGCAGATTGCGGGCGCCACTCGCCTCATTCATGCTGCTGCCGCCATCACTATTGCTTTAGTCAAAGCGACCCAGCCATCACTGCTGCCACTGTAGCACCACCCGGTTCTGCTGCTGCCATACCGCTGCCCCGCTCTGGCCACGGGCAGTGCCTTTGCACTTCGCGGATGTCTCCTGCCCAAGGTAGCTGTCATGAGGCCGTGGAACAAGCTGGGTTGAGGTAAGGAACCGGGTCAGGATGGCGGGAGAAAGGCGCTCTGCAAGGGTTGGGTCCGATGCATGTGGGGCTGCTGCCTCATTTTCCGTTCCCTGCCAGGGCTGGACTGGACTGGGTGTGGAGCCTCCATGTTGCTTCCTCCCCTGCGGACATCGGGAGCGTCCACACCGCCTACCCCTCATCCGGGGCAGCTGCCGTCCCGCGCTCTCCAGCCCAGCCCACCAGAGACCCCCTGAATCTCCCCCAACCCTGCCCGGCCCCCTCACCAACATCAAACTGGCCACGCCCACCCTGGCCACGCCCACTGAGTCTGCCATGACCACTGTAGCCACGCCCACCCAGAGGGCCATGCCCACCCGGAATCCGGTGATACATAAGTGGATTTTGGGTTGCAGTTTGGGCTCTCGGTCTCTAAAAGTTTCACCACCACTGATATAGAATGTTGAATCAGAATTAACATAAAGATATTGTTTTGGCAAACTTGAACAATTTTGAGAATTCCTAAATTGTGCTTGAAAAACTTTTGATTTGAGTGTTTGAAGATAGAATCTACCAATTATCTGAGAAAGTGACATCTAATAGTGGAAAGGAGATAAAACACTAAAGCTTGTTGGGTCTTGGTGATGCTTGGCACAGAGCCCGGACACAAATAGCTAGCTTGTCTGGTGCCCTTGGAAACTTTCAGAACTGCAACAAACAGATGGAGATAGAGAAAAACAGGGCTTTATGTTGTTTCTTGTTATTGACTGCACTAAAGCCTACCAATCACCTTGGATTATAAATATCAATTGATTTAAAACTTTAAGAAGCATCCAAAGACAGAGGATAATATGGTTTTTTGCTACTTTTGACCTGGTGGGATTTATGACTGGTTTAAAGCCTGCCAGCCACTTTGGATTATAAATGTCGGATGATCTACAGTTTTTGGATTTTGGCCACAAGAGCTGTAGCAGATTTTGTAATCTCTCCTCCAGATTTGGTATTGACAGAGTGGATTACAAAACTCCCATTTCCATGGCACATATGTTGA